TATAGTCACCTGCTTAACCAGGAAATAAAAGGAAATATGAGAAATGGCTAATTATTTAACTGTATGCACTCTTACCTACCTACCTATAATCTATCCATCACATATTATATGCAGTAATACATCATTCTTGGTGTGTAAACTGATCAAGTATTTGGTTGACCTTGTTAAAACACAATAGGAATTGTTCATATATAGCAGTGATCAAACTTAAATTAATTACAAACAACAATAGGGACGGAAGGAGCGGAGGACGTATGATATGATAGCGTTTTTGACATATTCAAATTTCAAAGTTAAAAAGACTCTGACAGAGTGTAACTGGAAAAATTTAAACAATATTTTGAGAATTAAATGTTTTGTTTATATTACGGCTTTTATTTATTCAGTATGACCGTGGTTTCTTGTTTCATATATACTGAAAATATAGAGAAAAATATCAAAATGCAATGCCTATATAAAAGTACTATAAAGTTTGTGCGTGTGCATTTCTTCGTCGTGCACTATGAAAATGACTAAAATCAAAAGGTCGGTTGTTTTAAGCTTTTACAACTAACCTTACCTCAAAACAAGACACTTACCAAGTTATTTTCTTCAGTATTTTCCCCTCAATCTTCAGAAAAAACCACAAAGTTTAAACGACATTTATTTTGCTGTAAAAGCCCGTTTGATTTCTTGCTCTCGTGACATTCGTCGCATTCGTCCGTTTTGCATCCCAGCGATTTCGAAACAACCAATAAAAGCAAGTTTTCGTGTTGTTCAAATCATTATTTTACCGTCTATTTATAACAATGCTGTTCACGGTTGTTCGAACAACTAAAAACAACTTGTTCTTTCATCAATGTTGTTCAGGCCTGTTCGAACAATATTGTTGACGCCTGATGAATGAACAACGCTGAACAACATTGTTCTGACAACATTTATCAAGCATGTTTCATCAACCTTGTTGACGCTCGTTCCATCATGTTGCAACAACCATTGTTCGTTCATCAAGCGTGAACAAGTTGTTGGAACAATGTTGTTAACGATTGTTGCTTGAACAACCGTTGTTCAGCCATGATAACAACATTGTTCGGGCATTGTTCAATGAACAACGCCGAACAACCTGATCAATTTTTACGCGTGTTGTATAATTGAAGCCAAGAATATTCCAGCGGTTACCCCCATTTGAATAGATGGCGGCCATTTTGGTCGTTCCCACTTGCTAATAAACGCTTAAAAACAACAATAACTTTCATCATTTGAATAGTTTTACGTACTAATAATGAACGGAACTCAAAAATATATTTATATCAAAAGGAAGACAATACCATCTTAGGTCCAAACATTACAATACTTTTCAAAATCATACATATCATGACCAGCTATGAGCGAATATATGTTTCAAAATTGCAACGGCTCACGGCTGAACAGTATAAACGTTTACAAATTGACAATAACAAGCTCTTAAACTATAAAAATATATCACAATACAAGCTAAATTGCACTGTAGTTTGTAGTCTGCTGTAAAACTCATAAAACCCGATAAAAACTAGCAACGTTTATAGATCGAGTAGTAAGTTTCATAAATACATAAAGCCACATGTATTTAATAGGATACATAATTTGTCAAAATCAGTATTTTCAAATTGATCGGGTATAGCTACTGTATTATTTAGAGAAATATCAACACGTGCATGGGTTTGTATCCATGCTCTTTGACTCCTCAAGGCAGATATCCAATGAGAAAACCTGCCAAAACATATCAACGATTTCCAGCTGTTCAGTTTTTAGTTTAAAACCCAAATTCACAGCAATCTTTCAAAATTTACGCTAATATACGCTTTTATTGATAGCGTATAAAAATTGCGTCACAATGATTGATGCGTATTTTGGCATACATTATGATTTCAATCAGGATTTTAGAGTCCGCTGACGGCCAGGAAATACCAAATTCCTTGAGATTGTTGCAGGCTCTCTTTATTCCTTGAGCCTGCCACGCAGGCTAGTCTAATACCAGACGATCTTACTCATCAAAGGAGAGTGTTGCACTTTAATTTTGTTTGACATCATTCACAAACAGAATACTGAAAGAATGTCACCCCTCTCCGCACCCCACCCTAACCCTGTCCCTGTTTCAACACTGGCAAGAAAATACCCACTCCATGCTTGAAACTGTGCAATAGGATATTGTGGCATTCGATGAACATCCTGTCAAAAATTTCCACTCGGTGCTAAGGGCAAGAACAAAAGAACCAGATTCAGCTGGCCAGATTGCATTCAAGCAAAAGAGATTGATGCATGCAAGCATGAGCTGCATTCTTTTAAGTCCGTCTTTGTGCCAACTTAACTAGTAAGAGATTCAACTACAGCTCAAAAAGAATTAACACGTTGAAGGCAAAGGCTGCAAAACTTCTCGCAAGCAAGTTGAATCCCTAAATGACCACCCTAACATGGCAACCCAACAACGCCGAATTCGACGGCAACGGAACCCGAATATCTGACCAAATGAAAACTGCCAACTCCACTTGGAGAAAAAATTGTGAACAATCGAGTTTTGCCACTAGGCTTTACTTCTGTTCAACAAGCTCCAAATCCAAACAGGTAAAAGCAAAAATATCAATATATGGATTATGACCGGGGGAGAGTGACATGCTCACAGTATTCTGTTTGTGAATGCTGTCAAACAAAATTAAAGTGCAACACTTTCCCTTCGATGAGTAAGATCGTCTGGTATTAGACATAGTAAGGGACCGGTCATTAATTAGGGCAGGGGTTGGGGCCGAAGAGAAACGACTTTGAATCCGAAATTTTTTTTTACCCAACCAATATAAGATCAGAAATTTAAATTACCCAACCTTGTTGAGACATAAATTTTTTTTTACCCAACCCAAGGAAAAAAATTGTATAAAGTTGTATTAAATAACATACCATATTAAATGGTGAATGTTGATCATGATTCTGGTAAGATATGAATTCACCGCAACCATGCAGGTAATATAAAATCAGTACATATTAAAACACCCAAAATCCCTTTGATAGGTTTTGTATAAAGTTCCCGAATGTTCTCTACTATATCCAATATTTTAATGTAATTCTGACAAAGCCCAATTTCCAGCATATCGTCCATAACGTGTTTGAACAACAAGGGGAACTGGATCAACAGTTTGTATCTGTTCATTTTCAGGTTCATCTTCAGTCTCACTTTCAGGATCACTTTCTGATCCAAACTCCTCCAATACAATATCTTGATCACTTTCACTGCTTGCCTGGTCTCTGTGCTGCGGCTCCAAAAGATCTTCAATTGGTCTTCCTTGGTGTTTTCGTAAGACATCTGCTGTAATTGCATCCAACTTATCTTTTTTCTTCCCTTTTTTGTTCAACTTGTTTTCAGTAATGTACTTATCCAATTCTTCGATCTCAACTCTGAATGCAAAATCCTTGGTCTACCAATCTTGACTTTGACTCGCTCATCCATATTTTAATATTTAAAATATAAACATTTACATATTTCGTCATGTCATTCATGTGTAAAATTTGTCAAAATATGCAGAATTCGAGGAGATCCGATGTAGATCCGACACACTTCCGAGCATGAGCCGACTAGAAACGAGTGCCATTTGGATGATCCAAGTTAAACAAACATACTCACATGTTTTCATCATGGCTGCCGAAAAAGAATTTGAAAGTTTTTTACAATCTATTAATCTTGCTGAGGATTATTTGGAGCGATTTAATGCGTCTGGTTTTAACGATATTGAATTAGTGAAATCGTTGGAATTGGATGAACAACGGCAAATGTTTGATCTAGTTGATTTATCGGGAAAACCAGGGCATCTTCTGAAATTCAAGAAGGCTATAGCTTCATATACTCGCAATCTAGGAAGTATTAATATTGACAATAGTAACCAAACAGCCGTTCCGGCTCAGAAGAAGGCTCAGAAAAGTAAGTTTTTATCATTGTAAATATTTTGTTTATTATATTAAACTAGGGTATAAGTGTGATGTTGGACAATCAATTTAATGAATTTACTGTATGCATCATGGATTCATATGACATGTTAATGCGTTTATATGCTTCGGTCAATTTTCCTGTTTATACCACCCCCTCCCTGTACAAAATTGTATCCTTGAGGGTATTGTTGGTCTTGAGGGTGTGTATGTATGGTCCCTTATACTATTTTAGCCTTGCCCTGAGGTGGGTATAAATTTAAAAATGTCTATTAAATTTCTGGTGCTGGTAAATTTGCTACAAACTTGCAATTATTTTTCAAATCCTTTAAGGAATTGCCTTGGGAAGGCATGGTTACATAAAGAATTGATGATTATTTAAATGAAATATTTACTTTTATATTTATCTTTATATTAAATAGCAATCTCATTCATTGGTGGGAAGTTTGTTGTGGGTGAAAATGCCAGAGTGAAAGAAAAGGAGCCTTTCGAAAAGTACATAATACCAAATGTGAAGTCCAAAAGGTTGACATATCATAATCTAATAACAAAAGAAATCTACCTGTCAGCCTTTACCAGTAAGCAGTCTAGATTCCATGCTTATTTGATGGGACAACGCCAGTTTCGTTGGAATGTTAAATGCAACCTCGAAAAACTTGAGCACCTTGTATCTTCATACAAAAATGGTCAAATTCCAAAGGAGAATATAAATTGTTTACGATACAGGAAATTTCCAGAGGATGTAAAGATAGATGATGTGAGTAAAAGCCAACGAGCATTAGACCACATAAAAAGCACAATAAAAACAATCAATGAGGAAAAAAGCAAGTTATCGAATAGAAAAATGGAGCTATATACAGATAATCTTGAGCCGAAGAAATGGGCAAGTAATGAAATAAATTTTGTTCAAGAAATGACAACACATGTAGAAAGCATGCTGACTGAATCCAATAATATTGCACATGACATTGAGCATGTCAGTAATCAGTTGGCAAAAAGATTTGATGTGGCCTCGGTGAATGAAAATGAAAAGAAACGGAAAGCTAAAAGAGTCAAAGAACAAAAATCTAAGACAAAGAAGAAGCGAAGCATTGTAGAAAAGTCCAAAGTGGGATGTCCAAACACAATGAGTGACATGTCTGGTGATGATGACATTGTTATTGACATTTTAGATGACAATCTATGAACTTTTCTATTTTTATATACAATACTTTGTTTTTAAATAAATGTTGTTCCAAAATATTTTTACCCAACCTTGAGGGAGGTATTTTTTTCTTTTACCCAACCTTTGAGGCCTGGGAATTTTCATTTACCCAACCATTTTCTCTTCGGCCCCAACCCCTGCCCTAATTAATGACCGGTCCCTTATTATTATATGTTGGTGAATATGAATGTAAGTTAGGGGGAGTATTAAATAAGTTTTTACATTCTCCTATAGTATAGTAATTTGACGAAAATGAAGGAATAATATTATCAGGGTCTTGATAATCAGAATTAATAGATTTTTTTAGATAGCTATTAGCAATATTCGGATTAGGACACATTATTAAGCTGTATGCAAATATAATAGGATTAGTGTAAGATTATACAGATTAAACTTATCTTGCTGTGAAGAATTGGTTTTTGAATCGTACAAATTCAGACAAAGTAGAGAACGAAACTACTTTAGAATGAACATCATTATCCTGTTTCATATACGTTTTCCCATTCTTTGTCCATACAAACTGAAACTTTTGTTCCTTCTGAAATTCCTTTGTTTTTCTGAATATTTCTTTAGCCTTTGTTGTTAGACTTTCATTTATGCAAAGTTTATCGTTCTGTTAGGAAAATCGATGTGTAAACCATCCCGCACACTTCTTCTTGTAAATTTAGCAATTATAATAGGTGTTCGGTCTTCTCTTGTAGGTAATCTATGGCTGATCGAGATATCTTCATTTTTTATTTTGGTACCAACCAGTTCGCCAACCTTTTGAACTAATTTGTCAGTGTCTTCGCCAGATTGAATAGGAATTCCATGCAATTCCAAACAATCTCTACGCGAATAGAGATTTTGAGCTTCTTGATCTTCTTCTAATTGTATTATTCTATTGGACATCTCGCGGTTGCATTTGCCTTTAATTGTGAATTTTCTTGTTTCAGGAATTCGTTTTGGCATTGGAGGTCTTCGATCGTTTTCGACAGTTGTTCAAACTTAGCATTGATAAATTCTTGGTTTATTTTGTGGTAGATTTGACTACTGGGTCCTTGAGTTCAGAACCTTGTAATTTGAAGCGATCATCTAAAATTCGTTTAAATGAACTTAGTAAACTTTCTGATAATGGACAATCTTTTCCATTTTCTTGTTCATCTTGTGATGATATTTCAACATTTGATGAATCTATATGTTGACTGGATTGGTTATTTTGATTACGTTTCGATTTTGGTGGCATTTTAAGGTGATTAAGTGCGATTTTATATAGAATTAGTCGCAGCCATCAAAATCGTGACCATCCGCCATACTGAATTTGAACAATTCAAACAACTCACCAAGATTTGTTAAGATTACACTTAGACACCACTTTATAGCAAAACACCCAAAATTATTGAGTAAAAAAGTCATTTTTAACGCATTTTTGCACAGCACTTTTTGCGTGCGCGCACGCTCACGCGTACTCATTCTTCTTACTTTGCTCTATCATCAAAAAATTAACATTGCACGGGAGTGCGGGGAGTTTCAGACATGCTGTAAGACGTGTATATGAATATTCAAATTTTAGCCAGCTAATTGTCCACATAATTTTTGCCATGATTGTAGGCCTACAGCCTTGCCAGGTTTTTGTTTAATTAACTGATTGCCTGTACATGATTTATTCAGCCAATCATGTGCATAAGTCTAGTGAGGTCTAGCATCCATCCCAATCTGCGGAGGATGCTAAGTTAGGCCAATGTGAGGCCATGGTTTACAATGTAAGACAGTTCTCAGCACAGGTATTTATTATATTAAATTTTTAACTTAATGAGCGAAAGTGCCGAAACAGGAATTAAGCGCAGACGGAGGTAAGATACAATAACTGCATTCAGATTAACCTTGTTCCCAGAGCCAATACACTGCGCCCCATCTAAGTTAAAAAGAGCCTCAATGTAGAACAGGTTTGTTTTAATTATCCATAAAATAACAAAAACTTCTTTATCGCTTCCCTGCATATATTAAACCACCATCGGCAAACTGTTTGTCAGTTTGAGCTCAGTTTTCTACTTTTCTGTGCTGCCGAATACTACAAGACCAGTCAAAGCCTTTATGGCATTATTATGGCTTATGTGCCCGGTTGTTAGCACATAGCCGCTTCATTGTTTTAATCATTTTTTAATAATTAACAAGAAAAAATATAATTAATAACTATACTGTATAACATTTAGCACAAAAAAGGTGGAGATATTACTAACGCCCACTACACATAACGTTATAAAGTATCTATATAAGTTCAACATATAGCGTCCAACAACGGGGAGGAGGGTGGGTAAATCTCTTCCATCCAATTTCTTGATGTGAACTGCAGCCCTCGTGGAATAGGAAAGGAAAGATGGCCCGCTTCACCACTGATAAGTACCGAAATTTCCAATCACGTGACTATACTTAAATAATTTGCGCGCGCAAATAACTTATTTCGCATAATTAATTTCAACTATAAATTATTCCGGGAAGCAATAAAAACCCCTATCGCTGTGGCAATAAGTTCCTATAGAACACAAAACAATTTCTTTAGAGATATAGCTTTGTTTGACTGTGGTAGTTGGAATGTCCGCCTGGGTGGCAGGCTCTCTGAGTTTGGGGGAGGCGATGAAAAATGGAAAAAAAAAATATTAAGCAGCCCTCCACTGAGCAGCCCTCCTTTAAGTGGCCACGTACACTTTATTGAATGGCCACATATCAAAGACCATTATCATGCTTAGTATTGTCAATGTCAGTGCTGCCACGCAGGCTAGAATGTGGGCGCTTCAGATACTTTTACTTTTCCGCCTGTTAAAGATGCTGTAAAGTCCGTTCTGCGCATCAGTTCTGCTCATAACAAAGGGGGGTATAAAATTGCCGAAATTTTGCATTTAAACATAAAGTTTATAGTATTCATTTACAAGCATAGCTAACCAGAAAAGTGTTAGATATTCAGTTAGTACGATCATATTTTACAAATTTGAAATCTGCAGTCCCTCAATGGCGATTTCCCGTGTTTCTGGGGAGAGATTTTGCATAATTCTGAAGATTATTTACTGCAGGAAAGACCTGATTTTTGATGATTTCTCAATAATGTGGATCCTTAATTTGACTCAACGAAGCTTACTTGGTCGCGTGTGAATAGTTAAATCGAAGTTTTAAAACGCATTTTAACCAATAACCACCATAGGCATTATTTTCTGTAGTTAGATTTAGGAAAGATTAGAACTTTTATAGACAATTTGGTGAACAGATGAGATTGGTAGTCACATGGGTAGTCATCGTCCCCCCCCCTAATTTCTACCCGGATTTCATCTTTTTACAAGGGCAGTCCATCA